CCCATATATGGACACATGTGCAAGCGCTGCCCTTCATCACTATAAGTGGATTTAATGGGTCACTTAAGATTAGAGTCCACAGTAGGTGAGAAAAAAAAAGGATTTGGTTGAGCCTCTAAATGCTCACTTTAGTTACATTAATCATTCCTTCACCTGCTCCTTCCCACCATAACACAACTCCCATTACATTTTCTGCCTGAATACCACTAAATTTGGCCTCAACCAAACTGAAAGCCAAAATAGTTAATCTCAATGGCTCCAAAACCTAAAACAAACAGTCCCGAATCATGGCTGCTTAAAGACATTTCCTTCCTCTCTTTAAGCATGAATTGTTGTTATTGTACAGTTTTGGTGTTTTATGACTTTGTTTTATGAATTTTCCTATGTGGGCTGTTGAGATGCTGGGTATGCCTGGTTGGAGCACTCATGGTATAGTATGTAGAATGCAGGGTAAAGACATCATCAACACGCCCACTTCACAGACTGTGCACTACAGGGAGCTGGAAAAATTCTGTTAAACGTCTGCTTCCGTGGATGTGAATATTGGGTGGGAAAGAAAATTAAATAATGAATTCAAATTGAAGAACTTCCAAACAGGGCCGATCAGATAATTCTAGTAGCCATTTAATGAGCAACAAAAATATTTAAACATGATGTAGGCTGAGGTTTTCATTTCATGTAATGCAGATTATTGAAATTCAAACATTTCTAGAAAGAAAAAATGCAAAAAAATAAAAAACTCTTAACAACTTTTGCATTACACTAAAGAGATTAAGGAAAAATCACTGCATGTAAAGGAATAGAGCAGAAACTGCTGCTGAATGTGTGCTGCATTAATAATGACCACGGTTACAGCTATAATGATAATGGCTTCACATTACATATCACATATCACATATCACATATCAGATGACACAAGACCATGGCCGGGTCATCTTGAAATTAGAGCTGTTTACTGAGCTTTTGCTTCAACCATGTTTACATAAACACTAAAATAATGCAGAGTGGGCATTGATTGTGTTGCCAGGTCAGTGTTCTTGTCTTACCCTGGAGATGCTCAGGGGCAGGTTAAAGTCCTTTCCTCCTTGCAGCCTGAAGCCCCAGGGCGCAGAGCCTGTAAGGGTGATGCTGTAGTGGCCACTCATGGTCTCCTTGATAATATCAAATGTACTTGGTGCTGATGTCACAGGTGATCAGGCAATCGATGATGTTACGGACTTTTGGCGATGTGTGAGTTGCTTGTAATCGTTTGCCCTTAGGATTGTTTTCAAAGACCTGTAAAAAAAAAAGTAAAGAAACTAGATAGTAATCTATTGTGGCATGAAAGATTTTTGCTTTTGCTTTTTTGTATTTTTTACATTAAAAATGTTGGTAGTTTTCCTATTGGTTTGCATGATTTGTGACACAGTAAGACAGTAAGTAAGAAGTATGTATGTGCCCAGGAGAAGCCCCGTACAACAGACACATAGACCACTACTATTATTGTAATTACATCACATTTCCTATTATTAAGTGCTATTATGGAAAGGCTGTACCTGTTCAATGGAAATTCCAGAGAGGGAGATATTCCTTAACAGGAAGGTAGACAATGTTATCCCCCAGTTTCCCTTGGACTATCCTCTTCCCAGCAAACACACTGTGTGTGGGTGTGAGGCATACAATGCTCTTATATAGCAGCTAATGACAGAGGGGAGGGAAAATGTGGAGGAGGGGAGAGAAAAAGAGGGAGGAGAAAGGCAGAAGGATGGGAGGAGAGGGGGAGGGGCTAGAGGAGGGCCATCACACATGGGTGGAGTGTGTGTGGAGAACAGGATAGGAGGTGAAATGAAGAAGATGATATGGAGGCTGAGATTAGGGGATGGGAGGAGTTAACGGTAGGAGGAGACACAGTAAATTGGGGAGGTTGGGGGAAGGTTACAGGGGAGATTAATGTGTAGCAGTGCTCCACGGTTGCTAAATGGTGAGAGGGGGGCTTAGAAGAGAGAAGTGGAGTGGAGTGAAGGGTGGGAGGGTGGCAAAGGAAAGGAGAGGGGATGTTTTATCTTTCATCTAGATATTTTGGGAACATGGGCTCAGTGGTGCAAGCTGCTTGATCTGTGGTGGAACCAGCCATAACTAGATCATGACCCAAGCACACATCACTGCTAATGCTTGAATTAAAAGGTCTCTCAAAGGTCAGAAAGGATGGACATAGCATGGACACGTCCAGGATCATCCTGTTGCCTGAAATCTTAGACCCGAAGTTTGGCTTGGAGAATATAGTTTCCTTCAGAGCCACACAGAGGCACATCAGTTAGCAGTGATGCCTTACGTCAAGAATAGACTAAATGTTATTCCTACATTTGCTTTGCTTTTTTCACATTCTGTCTGCTTCTTATTACTTAACATTTAGATTCATATCTGAAATAGTGGTCTAAAAATGTCGGTAGTTTTCCTATTGGTTGGCATGATTTTTCCACTGTAGTAAATTAATACACAGTAGTACAGTAGGACTGTATGTATCTGCCCAGGAGAAGCCCCCACAACAGACACATTGACCACTACTATTATTGTAATTCCATCACATTTCCTATTTTTAAGAGCTACTTAGTTATTTATTCTTTTATTATTTACATCATTACAACTGTGGTTCTAATTTTCCAGACCTGGACTGACTTGCATCCATTACGTTTGTCCAGTCCAGACAGATCAATATTCACTCTGGATTTATTCTTCACTCTGACTATCACAGACACAGACTTAACATCAGGATGAGTCATTGCTCTGCACTGCTGGTGTCTATAGAATTAAAAACACACACACATAAACCAGATCCTCATCATTAACCTGTTAATTCTCACTCCTGCAGTTCAAAATAAAAAAGTAGTGTGTATTTCTCCAGAAGACCTGGAGAACAGTGGAAACAGATGACTCATTAACACTGTTTATGCCACGACATAATGAGTTTTGTTTTACCATAAAAATACAGCAAATTAATGACCAAAAATGTTTATTCAGATTTAAGGTGAAGTTGGTTGCATGTGTTGAATGAAAAGGAAATCCTGGATCATTAGGTAAACTTTGTTATTACCATTAAATTGGCTTCCTGTTTACAGTTACTTAATAAATCTGGAAAACACTTTTTTTCAACACCACAGTCCCTCAAATAACACATTTTCCACTGCAGAGAGAAGAGAAACCACATTTCCTCTGTGTGTCCTGTGACAATTAGAATGTTTTGAATCTTTGAATCTTGTTACTTTAAACATTTCCATTTGTTCTTCGACCTAGCCAGAACGATTTCTATAGACATTCATGCTTTTGCAGGAACTACTGTTTGGCCTACACACATAATATAATAAACATAATTTCCATCCATCCATTTTCATCCTCTTATTCATTACAGGGTCGCGGGGACAGCAGTCTTTAGAGGTGGAGGTGAGGAGGTGAACCCTGGGGTTCCACACCAATGACAGAAACATTGCCATTGGGCCAAAGCGCCACATAAACATAATAATACATAATGAAATTGACCGATTGTGTAGAATATTGTTTTGAATTATGACCAGTCAGTCTATTTGACTGTGCTCAGGGACGTGATTAATTTCTGATACGTCAAAGAAATGGCCCAAACACTGAATCCTCTGCCTGTCCTTTGTTCTGATGAGTGCTGTCTTCCAGTCCCCATATGCTGACTTCTTCTCCACATGCTTAATGATCACAGCTTAACTGTCTCCAGTATATGTGCACACACACAGAGGAGTGTGATTTAAAGGTGCACATGGTAAACCAGCAGAACTCACATTTGATGTTAGCATCAGTAAAATATACAGTGAAATGAAAATAGATCTGCGGTAATATAATCTATTTACACAAATATTATTCTGCTGTGCAAAAAAAGTATAAACAAAACCTCATTAAAGAAGATGCATTGAATCTTCAAACAAAAAACATTTACATTAATGCATATAGCAGACACTTTTATCTTACAATGTGAAAATTAACAATCAGAGGCCTCAAGTGTTCCATTTGTCTTAAGGTAAGTTTGTATACAAGTATTATTACCACATCTTCACAATATCATCTTGAGTTTAAAAAAATGCTGGAGGGGAAAGTTTTTTTCCTCCTTACACAGACCGGATAGTTCGGCCATGTAGTATGAAAAAGACAAGTTCAGGCTGAAAACATTTTAAGGCCTTGGCTGCAGGCAGGTTTGTTTAGTGAAAAACAGGTGAGTAGAAATTGTAGATGTTTTTCAGATGTTTGCAGACGTTGATGTCTCCTTTGGTTAAACTGATGAGGAAACGACTAGCACATGGGCCCAGATATACAACTTCAGTAAAAAGAGACATCAAAACACCACACAACAATAATCCTTCATTCAGAGCCACTCAGTCACAGGTGCAGACAGTGAACTGTGAACAATGAAAGGCTGTTTATACTGGAAATAAAACGTGTCAGTGGTCAGACTGCTGTTGTCTGCAGACATTTACAACAAAAGGCACATTACTTTATTCTAAATTGATTCTGCTTTCATACATTTCTGAATTGATGACTCACAATCTAATGTATACATCTTACATGTGATTGTTATGTGGATACAACTGCCCGATGAAGCAGTTCTTGGATTTCCGTGGTTTTCACATTTGGTTGGATCTGCATTTGGTTGGGTCTGAAGACACCAAAAGGCTTTCCTGAGCACACACAGTCACATAGCCCCACACATTCAACTAGAATTTCCCCAAATTTTCTTCACACCAACTTTCTAAAACACCTCTACTGCCTGGGAACAATGGGAAATCTCCCAATCCACATTCACAAGGAGCCCCAAATCCACCCATTCCTTTTGATCTCAGCAACAAAAGGCCCATAAACATGTCCTCCAACACTACATAAAGCATCAGCGCCACATAGTGGCGACTGCAGACATAACCATAATACAACAACAATAATATGATTAGCAACAAGAGGCCTAGCCTCTCTCTTTCATTGGCCTACAAGATTTAAACACACACCCGGTAGGTCAAAAACTACTTCCCCCACACAGGTGTATAAGCGTAAACAACTAGTGATACTTTGGAAGTTATTCTTGAGAATTTATTCTTAGGAAGTTTTAAGTCTTGGATTTGTGTATTAACAACTGTTGAATAAACAGTCGTTTATTTTGCTTTATTGTTGGTGTTTTGTTTGACGTTTTGCTATTAAAACGAATCGACCATCTACCTGCTGCTTCCATTCCTTGCCTGAAGACAACTTGCACAGCAAGAATCTTTCAACTGGTGCTGTGATCCGGATCAAAATATATAAATAATTGTATCATTTGGATCAGATCACAAACACAGTAGTTGAGAAACACAAACATTTGCTGTTGTATGTCTCTATTCCAGCAATATACCAAAAAAAACATTTAGTTACAAAAAGTCTTAAGGCAAGGGTGTCAAAATCATTTTGGTTCAGGGGCCACAAACAACCTCATTAGATGTCAAGTGGGGAAGACCATTGCAATCAGAATAATTACCTATAAATATGTTGTTGTTTTTTTCTCTTTCAAAATCCATCAAGCTGACCAGATTGCCCAGATTGCCCAGTGGTCACGTGGCCATACTCAGTCTCAGTGACGGGACAGGTTAGTTTAGCGGCTACTGCAGACAATATCTACTGTCTTTGATAGCAAAAAATGGTAGAATCAATGGTCGGTAATGCAGACGAAGACGAGGAGGCACACCCCTGGACTTGTATCGAAAACAAGTCGAGTTTAAAAACAGTGCGAAACAGCAGTTAAATCATGAGGTGAGGTTTTGTGTCTCCCAAAACAAACAGATATTTCAGTATTCAAAAATGTATTTATTTTGTAAATATTTATTTTTGATGTATTATTTAATTGATTTTTATTTTTATTTTTTAAGTACTTGAATTTACCTAAAGATTGCTTTAAGGTATTTAATTAATTTGTTTTATTTTATTATTTTATTGATAGGAAAGACTCTCCTCTGTAATTTTGTTTAGCTGATTGAATGCTCATTAAACAATAAATCAGATGTTACTCAACAGTTACTCAGTATTTGAGTAGTTTTTTCACCAAGTAATTATTTGGATTACAACATTTTACTTCCACTTGAGTAATATTATTCTGAAGTAACAGTACTTTTACTATTAGTACAATTTCTACCTACCTCTGGTAAATATGTAATGAGCTATGAAATAGGATCAAAGAAGTATTTATATATTTTTTGCGTGGTCTGTCTTTCCATTACTTAATTAACATTCTGTTTTATATTTTGGCGACATTTCTTACGATTCTTTCTGACCATATTTAAATAAACTTTCCAGTCCAATTATCAGAAGTATATTTCTCCTCTATTAGCTCAGACAGGGTTTGTCACAAACATGTTTCACTGTGGAAACAATTCCACTATTCTACCAGCCAGTGAGACAGACGGACAGACCGAGCTGAGGGATCAACTCTTCAGCCAAAACAACTGTCTATCCTAGGACAGATAAACTGAGGAAAATCAGGCTTAGGCTGCACAGTGACATGAGCACACAGGTGCATAAATACACACACAAACACACACACATACACAAACCACAACCATACACACATTCACTTCATGCCTGGGTTCAAGTCCCAGTCATTTACAGAGCATCGTTTTTAAAAGCCAAGTGTAATGTTGCCTGAGGGACAGAC